TCTTTACACGCATATATATATCTATTTAAAATTAATAAATTTCTTCACCGTCACGGGGTCCAATTAGACTAATTAATTAACAATCTTAGTTAATTAATTAATAATTAATTAGACAGTAATTAAATATTAAGGACAAAAACAATTATAGTCTTCCTTCCCGGGAGCTTCCCAGCTATTTTCCCTTTCATCAATCTCAACCTCCCATGAATTAACAGAATACCACGACGAAACTGCATTTTCGAGAGACCCTTTTGCTAATTAATTACTCCTCAACTCGATTCTTCATTAATCCGGATTAATTAATTTCCTTAACTATATACATATATATATATATATACATATGTGTATATAGTAAACACGTTTGGACGATATGTAGAAGAAACAAAGATGTGGGTTCGGTGGTTTATTTTGATCGTTTTACTTTGTGGTTTCTTGTGTTAAAGTTGTGTACGACCTCGTGACACCACCTTTATCTATATATATACATATATATATATATATGTATATATATGTATATGGGTGTGTGTAGATGTTGTTACTTAATCAATTTAATAAATAAAAAGGGATTTCAGTAAGTTGACAGAAACAAACAAGGTCTTAACTATTGAAGTATCATGAAAATTTTGGATTCACAGTGAGAGATTCCCAACATGTAAACAGCAAATCGCCCATGTATTATATTATATATATATATATATATATATATATATTACAAACACACACACACACACGTATATATATATATAGATATATATTTACATTTTCCTGCCAAACTGGCACTGTCCTTTTCTCATCATTAATTTCTTAATATATTTATTTAAATATCAGAGAGAGGGAGATATAAATCCCATGCATCGCACTCACGATGCTTTCTGCATTGCCGACACTATCTTATCTGGGGTCTGACCGCGAGACTGAAATCGGCTCATCATCAACTTTTTCTTTTATCAAATATTTTGCGTGTTAGTATCTCCCTTATATATATATATAAAATAAGTGTAGATACATGCATATATGCATACACACACACACACATATATATATATAAACATACATATGATTGATGAATTTAAATACCATCAACTGAATGCCGAGTACTTCTATATATATACATGTACAGATTCATTTCATGTCCTCCTTGCCAGAATTAAGAAGAAGAAAAGAACAACTCAAAACAAAACTTTTATTTTGCTTATATATATATATATATACACACACACACATACATGTAGATAATGTTACTGAGTACTTCTATATATATACATGTACAGATTCATTTCATGTCCTCCTTGCCAGAATTAAGAAGAAGAAAAGAACAACTCAAAACAAAACTTTTATTTTGCTTATATATATATATATATACACACACACACATACATGTAGATAATGTTACTGAGTACTTCTATATATATACATGTACAGATTCATTTCATGTCCTCCTTGCCAGAATTAAGAAGAAGAAAAGAACAACTCAAAACAAAACTTTTATTTGCTTATATATATATATATACACACACACACACATACATGTAGATAATGTTACTGAGTACTTCTATATATATACATGTACAGATTCATTTCATGTCCTCCTTGCCAGAATTAAGAAGAAGAAAATAACAACTCAAAACAAAACTTTTATTTGCTTATATATATATATATATACACACACACACATACATGTAGATAATGTTACTGAGTACTTCTATATATATACATGTACAGATTCATTTCATGTCCTCCTTGCCAGAATTAAGAAGAAGAAAATAACAACTCAAAACAAAACTTTTATTTTGCTCATATATATATATACACACACACACACACACACATGTAGATAATGTTATTCAATTCGTCTTGGTCTCATATAAGTAAATATACATTGAAGGGTATGTATATATATATATATATATATATGTATGTGAGATAAATAATTTTTTAAGTAAAAAAGAAAAGAAAAGGAGACAGGATCTTATCATAATCGTTTGGGTTGATTGTAATAGACAAGAGGCAGAGAGACACGCACGCAGTCACACGTGTGCAACAGTGCATGAGATCTGGAGACATGGAGGAGTGGGTGGTGGAGATTGCTGCTCTCGCACAAATATTTTTTTTTTTACTTTTTATTTATTAAATTAATAAAAGTAAAAGCGAGATGTTTGACCAAAAAGTCAAAAGAAATACGTGCAAGTACGTAAAATACGCAGAGTTGGACTCGGTCAACCCCACGAAAATATGTCCTGGAGTACTAAAACTCCCGAGGACGCTTTTGGAAAAATAAGCTGTAGGGATTTGATCAACCCGTAACATATACATACATACATACATACATACATACATACATACACATATGCATACACATGCATGCATGTTTTAATTGGGTAAGGATGAAATTTACCCAATAAATATATTAAATGCAAAAGAATTACTGCTCAACTAATGGAACGTTATGTATTTAATATGTTAGTGGGTCGGAAATATTAATTGTAGTAATTAGTAAATCCCACCAAACCGAGCTTCCTTGGAATCTCGGATCGCGCCGTGTTATCCTGAACATGGATAGCGCTTTTATTGTTCAATCTTTTGAACAAGATAATCAATAACAAGACGGTGGATACAAATGCTAATTCTAACTTTTTGCTTGCAATTAAAATTTTACTCGTAAATTATTGAATTGTTAGGTACAACATATACGTCGAAGGACAATAAAGGTACTGGACGGGTTCATGGGAGGCCACTCTTTACTGCACCCACTTCCTAAACTTCTGAGTATTTCTCGTAAGGACATTTTTGGTATTTTATGTTCACGACTGTATAATAAACGTAATATTTATGTCTGATTATTTTCGTTAGTTATATTGATTGTTTTTTCTTGTATTTAAAAAAAAAATACCTTTTATTACAAAGCTTTATTAATTAATAACTATATTAATTGTAGTAATTAGTAACCGCACCAGACCTAGCTTGCTTGGAATCTCGAATCGTACCGTGTTATCTTAAAGATGGAT